TCCCCAGTGGAGAAGGGAAGGGATCCTGTCGCATGCAGCGGGAATTCAATACCAATGGATTCTTGTGTCTGGAGGCCCTGGATAAAGAAAGACAAAACGCAGCCAACACCACTCATGGCAGGAGGAGAAGCTGTGAAGTGCCACAGTTGAGCAGCTCTGCTGCTCCTTTTCCTACTTCCCTCTTAGTATTTCCCTTCCTCTGGGATGCTGCTGCTTCCTGTGCAGGCAGAGGGTGCAGCATGCAAATGTTACAGACCAGTGGGGCTCTTTCTGCTGCACTTGCTCATGCTCTCTTAGGGGTTCTCTTATTGAGCAACCTGGTCTAGTGGAAGGTGTCCCTGACCATGGGACCACCACTTGATGATCTTTAAGGTCCTTTCCAGCTTAAACCATTCTAGGATTCTCTTCCTTCTCTTCTTAAGTATCTTCATTGACTGCAAAGGAGGCATCAGTCTCAGATGTCCTCACACGGACATGAGTACCTGCTCAATTGGAGGTTCCCTCTGCTCCCTGGGTGACCTGTGCTGCCTGCAGGAGGATTTCAGTCCTGCCCATGCAGTGCTATGGGCCTCCCCCACTGGGTATCCTCAGGGATAGAAGTGACACAGGGAAAAGAACTGAAACCACAGTCATGTTCTTTAATCCCCTCTCTCTGCCTAGGGTCTCCTCTTCCTGCACCAAGCAATGTTCTTCCATCAGCCATCAAGCTGCACAAGGATGGAGGAGAACAGACCAGTCTTCTTTGTCCAGCCTGGTTTCAAGTGACTTCAGCCCCCATGGGATAACATACCCCAGCCTGCTGGATCTGAGCTGGGAAGCATGGCAGGTACTGCATCTGGGCTCCAAGTCTTCCTTCCCTCCGCATTCCTGGCGGCTGTGTCTCCAGCGGAGGTTAACACGTCCCTTTGTGAGGCCTGCACTTCTCACATGTTATGTCTGGAAGTTTGCTCTGGTTTCTTGCCTTGGGGGCCCTACAGAGGCTTTTCTGGGAACCCAAGTCCCCTTTTGACACCACTTCCTTGTGCTGTAGTTGCAGGTTGAGTTGCAGACGGGAACACTTTGGGGTTGGATATCTTTCATTGTCAAAGGGGATTAGGGCAGTGATTATTTACATGCACCTCTGTTACACTGGGTCTGTTTCTCTTCTGCTTTTTGCCTTTTCCCATGTAATTCTACGTCATCTAGAAACTAAAGCAGGGGAGAGGGAGACAATGAAGCTCCTACAAAGCGAAATGGGTACACGGAGATCTGTGATGCTTGGGGGAGCATCTTCTTCCACCCATACATAGACGTGGTGGCCGGGTTCATCCCAGGGCATCCCCTTTTTTCCCTGCCCTGGAGCTGGATACAGCAGGAGGCTGAATGCTTGGCATGATTTGGCCACTGGTTTGATCTAGGGCGGCTCCTCTGGAGCTTTGGCTCTTCCCCAAGAAAAGGGGATATTTTCCTTTAGAACCCAACATGCATGGCTTGATAGAAGTCCCATTTAGTCCTTTATTTGGCTTGGGAGGCTGCGGTGGAACAGATTTCTTTACATATCCTTGAGTGTTATTTGATGAAGGTTATGACTGCTCATAAACACTCTGAGGCTATTCTCCTTCCCCACCACTGGTGCCTGCATGGCACTACCCCTTTGTGTACCGCTGCAAGGGATCAGAGAGCTGATTCTGCTCCAACTTTACTCCATCGTTCTAATGGAAGAGAAACTAGACATGGGAGGGATGCCAGGAGGGATTCTGGCACAAGAACCACTTCACTTCCTTTTCCTCTGCCATTCCCAATCACAAGTTCTCCTAGAAAAGAGAAGAGCAGCCATTGCCCAGGAGGAGGAGAACTCCTATTGCTATGTGAGAAAATCTGTTTAATGTTTCAGGAAGCAAAAGAAGGGAAGCAATCGAGACACCTCAGCTACCCAGCACCACCCCAAGTGCAGCAGGGGATCTTGGGCAGTGCTTGGAGAAGGCTGGTAAGTGATTCATAGCCTTACTGTGGAGTAAGGAAAGATGCTCAGGCTCATCTAGGGGAACACAGACTGTGTGGAAGAAAGAAGCAGAGCCTCAAGATGCTGCCTGCAGCCTGGGCAGTAATCAGGGATGCTGCAAAGGGGTTTAAAGTGATGGATGTGCCATTAGAATGAAATGAAACTGTGCCTGGAGGTACCCAGAAGGCAAACTCCGTGCAAATGAAACTTCACTCTGCACTGAGAACACACACTGATGGCCAGCTCTGAATCCATAGGAGCACAGAGGTTGGAAACAGATGATCTTTAAGGTCCTCTCCAACCCAAGCCATTCAATGAGTCAATGATTCTGTTTGCACCAAGTCCTCATGCTCCCCTTTTCCCTGAAGGTCTGGGGCCTTGATGCCCTTTTCCTGGCCATGAAGCACAGTCTCTCCACAACGTTGTGTCTGCACAGTGCTCTAATGGAAAGCTGTGTGGGCCAGTCCCTAATCCCAACCATCAGCTAAGCTGTCAGAGGGAGCCCTCACCCTCCGTTGTTTCATTCTTAGCCTTAGGGCCTTGATGAGCAACAGTCAGGCATGAAAGGGCAACCTGAGCAGAGCATGGAGCCCTCCACTCCCTTAAAGCTCAAGGGGTATTAGTTCTAGGCCTGGTTTCTCAGGTCTGGGGTTTACCTGTTGCAAGGAGGGAGCAGAAAGAGCTCCACAGGGCATGGGTCACTTTGGGCACAAACAGCCCTTTTTCCACACATCCACCTTTTCAGGGCCTTCATGGTTTTGCAGACAAGAAACCATCCCCTTCACCTTAGGCTCCCTCCATAGAAGCTGAAGCACTTGCAGCACACTGGGTATAGGTTGCGATGAGTCCAGCTCATGGTGTCTTTCAGCCACATCTGGATTTTAAAGTGCTCCAAAGGGTGCTGTTCTCTGCTCTATGGTCCCTTTAAATTTGACACTAGAAACCAGAGCTGCAGCTGGTGGGGTTTAATGACAAGAGCACCAGTTTATTTGAGCTGGGGTCTTGATGGGGAGTGGTGTTTGTTTTCTCAGACCACACATTATTAACTGAGCCCTCGACTTTGTTTTCCCAGTCGCGTTGTGTGCAACCTCCCACTCCTCACCCCTTCCCTCTGTCAAAACGGCTTCGGCTCTGCGCTCATGGGGCAGCATCGTCCTAAACTGCTGCTGCCTGGGATGGATTTCCAGGCAGGGGTCCTGCCCCGGCTCCACTGTCTGACTGGGGAGGTCAGACTGGGAATGTCCTGGTGCTCTTTGGAAATGATCAGCTGTGGTCATTGTGTATTCTGGTCTCTCTTGGTATGAAGGGGTAATAATGTTTCATAGCATCCCAGAATGGTTTGGGTTGGAAGGGACCTTAAAGTTCATCCAGCTCCAACCCGTGCCACAGGCAGGGACCCCTTCCACTAGAGCAGCTTGCTCCAAGCCCCTGTGTCCAACCTGGCCTTGAACACTGCCAGGGATGGGGCAGCCACAGCTTCTCTGGCCACCCTGTGCCAGCGCCTCAGCACCCTCACAGGGAAGAGCTTCTGCCTAAGAGCTCATCTCAGTCTCCCCTGTGGCAGGTTAAAGCCATTCCCCTTGGCCTGTCCCTACATCCCTTGTCCCAAGCCCCTCTCCAGGTTTCCTGCAGCCCCTTTAGGCACTGGAGCTGCTCTAAGGGCTCCCCTTAAGGAGCCTTCTCTTGTCCAGGCTGCCCCAGCCCAGCTCTCTCAGCCTGGCCCCAGAGCAGAGCTGCTCCAGCCCTTGCAGCATCCCCATGGCCTTCTCTGGCCTCGCTCCAACAGCTCCATGTCCTTCTTGTGCTGTTGCCCCAGAGCTAGACCAGGACTGCAGGGGGGGTCTCACAGAGCACAGCAGAGGGGGAGAATCCCCCCCCTTGGACCTGCTGCTCACACTCTGGAGCTGCAGTTACACTCCCCTTCTATATGTGCCAACACATCCACCACATCCCACGCTGATTTCAACCCAGAGCCCTTCCAGCCGCAGCAGTGGGCTGTGAACAGACTCTGCGTGTACACACACCCGCACACGTACGTGCACACACACACACACAGAGAGCACACACGTGCACACCCTTGTGTGCAAACTGCAGTCTCCCCTTTGTGTTTGCCTTGGCTGCACAGCCTGCTCTCCCCAGGCTCGGCCAGGAGATATCCAGGCTAAGATAAACAGCACACAGCTGCTGGGAGCCGGAGAGATCCTGTGATTAACAGCTGTGTGGGGCTCCACAACAGCCCCCCGACCTCCAGCAGCCCTCCAGAGCAGGCTGCTTCATGTCAGAGCTCTGTGTGGATGGGAGCCATCGCAGGAGATGGGCTGCAATAGGCACAGGTGGGAAACCTGGTGAGGAGAAGCTTTGCCCCCATCCCTTCTCCTGTGCCAGCCTCATCAGTGCCTCTTGCTTATCACAAGGTTTCCCAAATCCATGAAGGAACAGTAACAATCCTAAGAGTGAAGCTTGTTCCCGAGGCATTTATGGTTTAGCATCACTGGGTACTTCAGAGGAAGGGCTTGCATGGAAGTGGTTCACTTTGGGCTCTTCACTTCTAGTACAGGCACGCAGCAAGTGGTAGTTGTGTCCTGGAAGAGGAGAAGCTGGAAAAGGAGATAGAGCTGGGCTTTGGGATGAAACCAGGGCTGGTACATGGGGAATGCAAAAGCAAAGAGAAACATGGAATGAGTCCAGAGGAGGCCGTGGAGATGCTAGGTATAGTGGAAAGTGTCCCATGGCAGGGTTGGAACTGGATGAGCTTTAAGGTCCCTTCCAACCCAAACCAGGCTGGGATGCTAATGTGTATGTGTTGTATGGGGTTTTAGGTGCGACTCACATAGGATCTCTTGCCCAGGGATCCTATGGGCTTTGCAGATACATTGGAAAACCCCAGCACTTCCCAAGCCCCTGGTACCACTCAGCCATAGAGGGTTTAAAGTGGATCCAGAGGCAATTCCCTGGGCCACCTCTGCCTGTTTGGGCAGCAAGGAAGAAGAGAGCTGACGAAGCAAACTGTCCCACCTGCAGAGGTGGAGGAACCCGGTGGCTCCCATTAACCTGTCCTGCAGGGGGTGAGGAGTTTATAAACCAGGCTCAGTGGAGGCTGAGTTCTTTAGGGAAGGGATGAGAGAAGCAGCTCTCTTGGCATGTTTGAGATCCCCTTTGTGGTGAGAGCTTGCAGTGACCTTAGAGGTGGACGACTTGAGGAGCAGCAAGGAGGCTGGGATTTCTCTGAAGACTTAAGCCTTTCCTTTCCCTCTGTTTCCAGGTCTTTTCTCCAACACTGAAAGCATCCTCAGCTACCACGTGGCAGCTTGATGCAGCAGAGAAAGCCCTGCTTGGATCTGCATCGCTGCATGTGTGGTAAGGTAGGATCTGGGTGAACTTTGGGGATGGTTGGAACCAACGGGAGCTCTCTTTGAATGCCTTATCAATTGCTTGTGTCTGAGGAAGCATGAGGTTGCATTGCTGAACGCTGTAAAGCTCCAGACTAAAGGCTTTGCTGGTGTCACTTCCCTTTGAGTAGTTGGGTTTGTGTTTAATGTTGTTTTGGAGTGAAGGCTCCAGGTTTGCTGTTGCTGTGGCTCTCCCCTGAGGTTTCGAAGGCGAGCTTGAGACTGCTGTGTGCTCTGAGAGAGGCTGCAGTTGTGCTGTGGCTTCCATTGGGTGTGTGTGTGTGTGTGTGGGTTGTGGGAAGCTGGAGCCTGTGCTGAGCTGTGTTTTGGGCTCTGTAGCACTGAGGGGGTGTACTTCCTTAGCCCTCATTTCCCTCTGAGTACAGTGAGTGCCTTGAGTGGAGATTGTGCAACAAAGGCCAGGGCTTCTTCCCAAGCAGCTTGGCTGTGAATGCCCAGCCTTCCTTCAGGTCCAGCTCTGGTATTTATCAATCCAGGCACTCCAGAGCCTGGGAACAGCCCCAGCTGTCCTTCCCTGCAGTGTAGAGCACCCATTTCCTCCTGCCTTACCTCATCCTGCACTTACATCCCCCAGGGCAGCAGCCTGGACATCTGTCCCGTGGACATCTGTCCTCTGCATGCAGCAAAGCCTCAGAGGATAAAGGAATGGAGGAGGAAGGAGCCAGTTGCCCAGGAGTGGTGTTGAGGCAGATACAGGCTTGTGTTGCCCACCTGCAGACAGTGGGGGTTTGGGAAGCAGAGCTGGGGCTGAAGTGAAGGTAAGGAGCTGTCAGGATGCTTCTGCTGGAGAAAAGGAGTCACAGAGCTTGTAGTGGCTCCCGTTCTCACCAGCACTGACAAAGCCAGAGCCTTTGCTGTAGGTGAGAGACTTCTCCAAAGGGAGAGACCAGCTTTCTGGAAGGCAGAGGACAGGAAGGGAGGAGTTCATCTGGACCAGGCTCTGGTAAGTGACTAGTCAGCTGTTTCTGAACGTGCTGAGAGGATGTGGGAGATGATGCATGTGCAACGATAGCTCCTCCTGAGAAGCCAAGAGCCTCTTCTACACCAGAGGTGCAATCCCCTTCCTCTCCCAGTGCTTAACTGGAAACCAGGCAGGGCAGGGTGTTGGGGATGGCCACACACCAGGGTTAAGATGCAGCCCTAAAGAGTGGAGATGGGGAGGGTTCAGCACTGGAGAAACACTCTGCATAGAATCACTGCTGTGCCTTGGGGAGATGATGGTGGGAATGGCTGAGGAGGCATTTGATGGCAGGCAGAGCTTGGAACTCTGCTATGGGGCTTTAATTCTTGCAACCTGATTGCCGGGGAGCATAACCTTCTGCCAAGCTGCATGGAGCTGGCAGGTTGGGGCTCTGCTTTTCTACAGAGCAGGAAGGAGGTGGGGAGATGTTTCTTAAGCATCCTGATGCTCAGGATCTATCTGGATCTATGCGTCCTGAGGCTCAGGATCTATCTCTGTCCATCAGGTTGGGATGGGGCTTGGATGCCACAAACACTGGTGATGGGCCCAGATAGATCCTGACCATCAGGATGCATCTCTGCCTCCCCATCTTGGTGAGGGATATTTGTGCTGTTCCTAGGCCCTTCTCTCCATCCTCTCCCTGTCCTTCTGCTGCTGGTTAGAGTGAGCTGAGGACGTTTGGTAGCTCACTGTGGGGTGACAACATGCTTCCCATAAACCCAGGGGCATTGTTGCCTGCTTCAGTGTGCTCTAATTTAACCAACATGGGTGTTTTCCAATGAGTTTTGTTGCAGGAGTGACTCTCTGTGGTTAGAAAAGGGCTGTTTTTAGTGGAGAGGGTGTTCTGCCTTTGAGTTAAGCTTGCAGGTCTTAGAAGCAGAGCCTGTACAGAAACACACATGAAACCTCTTGTAGCAGCAGGCCCTGCAGCCCTGAGAGCTTCAGCCTGGTGGAGAGGGGGATTTCACACTGGAGTCCACTGGCACTGGCCCAAGGCCACTTGTATTGACCTGAGCTGCACTGAAAGCAAGCACTTAGGTGTGAAATAAATCCCCTGCTGCTCCCTGAGCTCTTTGGTCCCACCCAGTGTATTTTTGCTGTGCTTCTAATGAGCTGTCATTGAGCCAGGGCTTGCTTTGGAGCATTAAGGATGCTGGTAACAATGAGACCACGATGAGAAGGAGCAGAGGGCTTTGTGCTGGTTGGTTTTCTCTCTCCCTGCTTGGTCTGTGGCTGCTGGAGCCCTGCAGTGATGTCTAACATCTGGCCCAGCATCAACCCCATCCTATTGCTCTGTGCTGCGGGGAGCTGGGGGGACTTGGCAGCCAAGCAGCTGTGCTGGAGCCATGGATGAGCTCAGAGGGGGAAGGATTGAGGCTTGGATGGGAGAAACTCCATTTGTGGTGGCTTTTGACTTCCAAGGGAGAGGCTGAGAGTGCTGAGAGGATCCAGGCATGGCCTCAGCAGGTGCTGTTTGTGCTGCACCCTCCACATCTCCCCATTGCAGCACTTGGGGGGCTGCAGCAAGCACCTCACATCAGCCTGCGTGTGTGCCCCATGGCTCATACCTGCCCTGGAGCTCACATGCAGCTCTGCCTATGCACTCCAGGGCTGATAAGTACTTGGGGGGCTGCAGCAAGCACCTCACATCAGCCTGTGTGTGTGCCCCGTGGCTCATACCTGCCCTGGAGCTCACATGCAGCTCTGCCTATGCATGCCAGGGCTGATAAGCAACAGGTCTTGGCTCTTCCCACTCTCATGCCCCACACAGGGTCGTTTGTGAGCTGTATTTCAGACCTGCTGACAGCCTGCTTTATGTTTTATGCTGCAGGACCTAAAGGACAGCTGCATTTCTTGCCACCGACACCCACAGTGCCTCTTGCAGCATCCTTCCTGCCCAGTCCCTTCATACCAGCACAGATCTAATATCTCAAGCTGGTGTGATGTGATGAGGCTGTTTTGGTACCATGCACAAGGCAGGGGTGAGTTTTCAGCCCGTATGCATGTCCTCCTAGATAGATCTGATAGACCTTGTGGTAGATGCTACATCGAGCTTAAGTGGTGTGCAGGGTGTGTGTTTAAACAGCTTCATTAAGCTGTATAGACCCAGGTAAGTTCTAGCACAGTGTGAGGTGTGATTCCTGTCTTGCAGAGCATAAAGAGCTCACCAAACATAGTGATACCCCTCAGTAAAGCTGAGGGTAGGGGAGGTTCCACGTTCACCACAGTCACCTTGGGATTCTTTGGGCATGTTGATGATGTGTGGCAGGATGCTCTCCAGGACACTGCGTGCATATGGTAGGGAAGGCTGAAACCCAGACTCCTGGGAGACTCTGCATGCTGTGAGCATTCATCCTGAGGAAGGTGAGGGGTTACACTGCTTCCCTCTGGATGTGGCAGTGTGTCTTCACTAGAGCTCTGCTCTTCCCTTTCCCTAGCAAGCCTTGACTTCCAGTGTGCTGGAACCCTGCAGAGATGCAGGGTTGGGTGCTCTACCTTCATCTTAGCCACTGGCATCTAGAAAGCAGATGTTACTCCTGACCTGCTTCTTGATGCTTTTCCCGTGGTGACACTGCTCTCCTTTGCTTCATCCCCCAAAATGCTGCAAAGGGATGAAGTTCTCTTGGACCTCTGGGTGCTGATTCGTGCTGGTTGCTGCAGGTTCTATCCCCAGTGATGCTCTGTGGGTGCTCAACCCCTTCTCCACTGCTGTGCTAAGGCATATGTGCCCTCATGTGCCCTCAGGAGAGGTGTTTGTGCTGCACCGCTTTGCTTTTGGAAGGGATAGACTAAAGAAGCCAAGCCTAATGCTTCCTTAAGTGGTGGTAAAGTGGTTGGGTTTGGGCTTCTCAGGGCTTGTTTTCCTGAGGAACCACAAGAGGATGAAAGCCAACCACAGTGTTGGGGCAGTGGCAGCATTCAGGGAGCGTGCAGCTTGGGACAAGCAACCTTTTGTAAGGGTTTGTTTAACCTTGCTGGTTATTGCAGGTCCCAGCTCCACATTTGTGGCTTTCCAGGCATCTGCCTGCAAGGAGCAGGCCAGGAAGCAGCTCTGGTGGTGGAAAACCAGTATGTGGGAATAACACTTGTGGGTTTATTCAGATGCGAGTGCCCTGATGCTCTCTGGACCAGGCAGTTAGAGCAAGAAGCCTTTTGCTATGTACCTGGAGCAGCTTGGTTTAGGGGTGGGAGAGGGGGGCAGAGGAGAGGGATGTGGACTAGGGGAAGGTGGTCCTGGCTCTTCAGCGTCCTGTGGACTTGCAGTAGTGAGGTCCAGACTTACATGAAGGCAGCTGAGTGCCAAAGGGGCTGTTGGATGAGCTCGCTGTGTTTACCACAAGAGGGCCAACCTCTGTCCTCCTGGTTGTGGCTGCACACACCATAGATGCCTTCAGCTGTCTGGCACGCAGCTCTTTGTGCTGAGGGTAAGTTGAAACTGGAGTTCTACCAGTGTGACCTTGAACTTTGAATGAGGCTTTGGCTCTCTCACAACTTTCCCCTGCAATTGAAGAGGGAGCTGAGGCCTCTGGTTCTTTTTCTACCAACAAACCCTGCTTTGAGGTGTCCAAAGAGCACTAAAAGCTCAACTGCCTGAAAGTGGTTTCCTTTGAGCTCTTGATTGCATGCATCCCCTGTAGAAGCCAGGATGGATGATGGTCCATCCTTTTGGAGCCCTCTAACATCTGTGAGCTATTTCTTTGGGGTCTAATCAGTTAATGTTTTGGTGAAGTGCTTTGAAGAGGTACAGCATCCTCAAATGATGAGTACTGTTTCATTCTTATTCCTATTTAACATCCCTCCATAGCCGAACTACTGTCAGACATCCTCACTTAAGAACGTATTTGGTGTCTGGATCTCTTCTGCAAAGGCAGGTTTTTGGCAAGGGGGATGGTGGGATGATATAATGGAGGTTGCAGTTATATACTACCTGTCAGCTGAGGCTCTCAACATTACTTTACAGGCCACTAGTTAATTCTCACCACTTG